TTTTAGCAAGTTGTTGGAACCTTATACGTACTAAAAGTTGATAGAGGGAATTATCAGTATTGTAATTAAACGACAAATTTGAATTGTGTACGCAAGTACTATAAGCTCAATCATATAAGAGTGTACTAGTGATGTATCGAATATCCGGATTCGTACTTGCGAATATTCGGATGATTCTTGATATTCGCATTCTGAACCACATTCTTGGAATGCAAGCGAATATGGATACATGAAAATTATACAGGGTGGCGCATCGAAAACGATACAGACGCATTTACTGACAGCTCAGTTTTTTTTTTGATAAACGCTCAGACCCGTCGATTTTGTTTTCGAGGGGGACACAAGTTTGGCAAAAAATCACGTTAGCACGTGCACCCCCAAAATCTTAAATGAAAAAGGGGGTCGAGTGATACCTTATTTTAAAGGTCTTTCAATTCCCTTTATAATGATGTAAAATACATGAGGTTCAGTTCAGTAGTTTTGAAGATTTATTGATTTAAAGCTTAAAGTAGACTTTAATACGTACATCAGATTACACAACAGAGTTACACAACCTTTAAACCTTGTAGCGTTCTAAAAAGCAAGTGTCTATGATTTTTCATTACCCAGAGTATTTCTTGTTTGTATTGCATCATCATGACCTTCATGTCTTTACGATCCAATTTCGCTCTTGTGGCCAAACGTAACATAAACTGCATATTTGTTAAGAGACTGTTTTCCCTAGATATTATAATGTGACAAGTCTCACACGCTGAAACATCCTTTGGGTATTGTAACACAGATTTGTTAATTTTGTTGGTCAACAGATTATTTCTTTATTCGACAAAGCTATTCTTAAAATCCTTTCAAGCATGACTCTCTGCTTTCAAATTGTTTCATAAAAACATATAATCTAACGGAACGTTTGTATATAATTTGTTTGAGTCTTCAATTCTGAGTTGTGGTTGACAAGTATCCATGCAATAGATTGCATTTAGAGCTGTAAATAGATCTTTGGAATCAGACACAGGAAAAGGCACAGTGAAAAATACGAACTTAATTTAGTAGATTGTATTATAGATAAAGAAATAATTCACATATACAGGGTGACTTCGAAGTTGAGTCGTTTATTTTAACAGTGAGTAGATCTGATCAAAAGAAATGTTTTTTTCCTTTAACATTTTTCTGGTAAAATGAAAGTAACAAAGTTATAGCCCTTTAGAAGTTTGAGTACCGCCCTGTCTCAATAATAATATTATCTGCTCGTGTTTGGCAACAACGGATATAATCCGCCTTATCGGTTCATCGCATCGGAAACAAAAAAGCGAAAGAATTTGAAACGCTTATCACGATGTTTTTACTACAATTTTATTCAGTTGTATTCAGTCAATGTGTCAGTCGGTAACGCGTGAGTGAATAGTGGTGTTTGTTGCGTGGTTCAAACGAAATAAAAAATGGCACATGTTTACGAAAATGCTGAACTTGTGGACATAATTCTTATTTACGGGAGGGGGGGAGTTTTTACAAAATGCTGCCGCGGCATCACGGATTTATGCGGATCGGCTTCCCAATCGAGTGCAACCAACCCCTCGTACCTTTGTTAATGTAGTACAAAGGGCTCGTGAATCAGATGACTTAAGACCTCACAGGGGAGGGCATGCCGGTGCTCCAAGACCGCACGATCAAATACAGGTCCGCACTGAAATACTTGTCGGGAGGATACTTTATAAAACAGGGTAACATTTTTTTTATTTTTTTTTATTTTTACACACATATTTTGGTTTACCTTCCTTCTACAATCATTATCTGAAAAATAATGACTCAACTTCAAAGTCACGCTGTATACATTCCAATGATACAATTGTATAATAAAAACGGAAATCTCCAAAAAATAAACATGGCATTATCCGATAGTTGAAAACAATTAAACCTTGAAACATCATACCTTTAGTAAGATTCAAACATTCTAAAAAATAGTAGAGATGATTAAGTAACACTGAAAAATGAAACAGTCACGTAACATATTAAAAGCTAGAATTTAGTAGTAACGTTGTAATGCAAAGTACTCTACTAGCATCAACAATTAAAGCAGCCCGACTATATTTTAGACGATGCTTTGCTCGACAAAACGATAAGGTAATTTATCTATGCAAAACGATAACTAACCACTGTTACGGTTTGCGATCGATTGCCGGTTCGATAAGAGTGATGAATGACCGACGCGCTGTTCTCCTGTGTGTTTTATATATTTAATTTAATGAAACTTACAGACTACAAATGTTGGTTTAACTTAGCAAAACTTAATGCCATTTATTTGTTAATTACCCAATTTAAAAACGTTTTGGATTAGATTATAAAAAATAGTAAGATTGTGGTGATTGTGATCGATATACTTATAGTTGTAAACTATAAAGCCATTTCGACAAAAATCTATTCACATATGGACCATGGGTCATATGAACTTTTTAACTTTTTTTAATAATGACTACCTGTAGATATCAAAAGTGCTGAGATCTCTTTTTAACATAAAATTCACTGCTCCTGTCGTTGTATATTCTGTATGGTAGTAAATAGTTAAAAGCATAGTCCCTGAATGTATGTTTCTTTGATATTATATTTTTGATATCGTAATGTCTATAAAAGTCAATAAAAGTGAAAAAAGCAACGTTCTTTCACAGAAAAAGTTCCTGCACTGACTGTAAAAGCGCCTCTTGTTTACGTATTTGTCCCCGACAAGGCAAAGAAACCGCCCATCAGTTTCTGAGAAACCAGGATACCGTGACGCATATATTTTAACCTTCAGACAGGTGTGGGCTGATGTGATCTATATCTCAGAGGGTAATTGCTATTTATAATGCATGAACGTATCTACCAAATGACTTCGCATTTCCGCCTTTTTCGACAACATTATCAGCACTTCTTATTATGGTTTGTGATACTTGTATTTTACTAGAAATGGATAGATTAATCATTTCTTGGATACACAATTTAATGATAAACGCATATTGACATTTAGGAGCGGAACGAGTATCAGGAATGCCGCATCTGACCTTATAATATTCAAATATCGCTGTTAACGCTAAATGTTAATTATTGATCGAGTCTGGTCAGTTTCTCTATATCGTTAAGGATACTTCATAGTGTATGAATTTTTCCAAAATTCTATTCTTCTGGTTAAAGAGTTGAGCTTGGTCTGAATCTGTACATAGCACCTAAGCTTTAAGCTATTTCTGCAATACTTTTAGGCGTCTATGTCTTACTGTAGGACTATAGGAATTTTGAATTCGTGTTAGTTACGTTCACTTTTCAGTCTGCTCAAACCTGTTTACGGCTAGGTAACTGAATTAAAGTCACGAATTGCCTTTTTAGTAGCGACCTGTGACCTTTTAAGAGAGTTACTACTCTCGCAGACTTTGCCTCAATCTACAGTTTTACCTAACATACAAGCGATATTGAAATGTATGTAGTGCTGCTCAATCATATTTTTATGAATCATTTTTCTCTAAATTGCTTGATGTTTAGTTAGAAAATAAAAAAAAACAATTAGAATAAACGGCTGCAGTCACCACTTTTTCAAAAAGGGTACTGCCTATAGCTTCGATATTAATATCAAACTCTATAGGGAACCATGGACCCACTGGCAGAATTTGGTTAATCAAGGTCTACCGCCAGGTCAGGTTGCGTATTTCATCCCATGTTGAGCTCACCTTGACAACAAACCCGAGCTGCGGTACAGTCTGCGAGCAGTACCAATAAAAGTAAAGTCCAACAAAAATTCCATGAAATACTATATTTGTTTTTTTTTTGGGGCATAATGAAGAGGTGAAAACATAAAAATTTGAAATTCTTGTACTCATTCACAGGTAGTACCACTTTTCGAAGAGATGAATGAATATATATTACGTGCCAATTAACAAAACATTTGTTTTTACACTTGTCATAAAAATTACTGATGACGTATACAATACATATAAAAGTATAATTGGTAAAAATAAAATGAAATATAATATAAAGGTGTAGTAGGCCAGATCACACACATAGGGGGGTCGCGATAAACTCATTCAAGGAATAAAAAGGATGTTTAACTAATTCTTGCCAAAGTGTATTTTTAAAATGTTTTAAAGTAAGATTCTTAGTAGTGTTTTTTAGCTTGTTATATACCCTAACATCAAGTGAGTTTTTATCTGAGATCTTTAGCCTGTGAGCGCTAGGTTGAAGTAGATTGGAATGCCTGGTGTTATATCCATGAACATCCGAGTGCATTGAGAATTTATGCTTGTTCTTATGAATCTCAACAAGGCTCTGATAGATGTACATTGAATAAATTGTAAGCATATTCAAGTTTATAAAGAGTGGCCTACAGTGGTCACGATAACCAGCTCCCGCAAGAATTCTAATTGCTTTTTTTTGTAATATAAACACTCTATTTATATGGGTAGAATTTCCCCAGATTAATAAGCCATATTGAATGTGAGAGACGATGAGGGAGTAATAAACACTAACAAGGCATTCATTACTAAGGCAAGTTTTTAGTCTGCGTAATAAGAATATGTTTGTGGCTAATTTGCTACATAGGGTTTCAATGTGCTTTGTCCATTTTAGTGAGCTATCAATTGTTATGCCAAGCAATTTTACACATTTGTTTTCTGCAAGAGAAGAGTTACTAGTTACTACTAGCCTGTTAGTTTTGTCTGAGTTTAGGCATAAGCTATTCTGTTTAAACCAGTTGTTTGCCTTATCTTCAAGCTGTTTAGATAAGCTTTGTAATATATGAAGGTTTTTGTGACTCTTTATAAGGGTGGTGTCATCTGCGTACAATACACAAATATCTGGTAATAAGTAGTAATAAAGATCATTAATGTAAAGGGAAAAAAGTATTGGTCCAAGTATGGATCCCTGAGGGACACCATAATTTACACCTTTAATTTCTGAATGTTTATTATTACTACTAACGAGCTGAGATCTTCCAGTCAGATATGATCTAAAAAAGCACAGAGACACCCCACGAAAACCATAATAATGCTCCATTTTACACAGCAGCTTCTCATGATCCACACAGTCAAAGGCCTTGCTAAGGTCACAAAGGGTAATTTGTACACTTCTTCCCCCTTCAAGGCCCTGGACTATGTGGTCAATAAGTTCCGCTAGTGCATTTATGGTTGACAGACCTGGCTGAAAACCAAATTGCTTTGGATTAATGATGTTATTTATTTTTAAAAATTTTAAAAGGCGGTGCTTTAAAATTATTTCTAAAATTTTGCCAAAGATAGGAATTATGGAAATGGGTCTAAAATTGTTTACATCAGATTGGTCACCTTTTTTAAAAACTGGTACTACCTTACTAATCTTAAAAACATCAGGGAATATTCCCTGAGAAAGACAGGAGTTATATAGATGAGCAAGTGGTGTAGCAAGAGTATTTGCACAGTGTTTTATTACTTTGCTGTTTAGGTCATAAATATCAAGAGATTGCTTATTTTTTAATTCACCAATAGCATTCAAAACATCTAGATATGTAACAGGCTCCAAAAAAAAGGTTTTATTACACTTATTAAAATTTATGGTATTTAGCTCATTAATATTAAGATTAGGTAGGCTTTTTATTATATTTTTGGCTGCGGATACAAAAAAGTCGTTAAACATGTCTGATGTGATATCAGTTAATGACATTGGTTTGGATTTATTTCTTTCAAAATTTACTAGCCTCCAACAGTCCCTACTTTTATTTTCCGATGAATGAATAAAATTATTATATGCACTATATTTAGCATGTCTAATTTTTTGTCTGTATTGTCTCTGAAAGGTTTTAAAGGCATTTTTTGACTGTTCGTCTTTTTGATGCTCCGATATTGTTTTTAGAACCTGAAGAGAGGACCTAGCAGTCTTAAGTTCACTATTAAACCATTTTACTGGCTGTCTCTGAAAATGTTGCTTTTGCTTTTGTAATGGAAAATATAAATCTTTAAGTTCATTTATTGATTCTACGAGAAAAGAAGAGAGACTAATCACATCATGATTGACATAATATTTTGTCCAATCTATGTTGGATAACGAGAGATTTAAATGATTTAGGCTAGCGTTTGTGATTTTCCTAGTATGAACAATATTTTCTTTTTTAATAGAATTTAAATGTACAAGCATACTTTGGGCATAGTGGTCTGAGAGACAGGGATCTCTTACAGAAACTGTATATTCAGACTCATCTAAATTTGTCAAAATATTATCTATGCAAGTTGTACTTGTGTTGGTCACTCTCGTATAATCTATAATTGTTGTTTTTAATCCAAAAGTCTTTATTAAATACTTTAGGTCTTGCAATTGTAATGAATTGTTACAGAAGTCGGTATTAAAATCTCCAGCTATGACTATAATGTTATACTTAGGGCTGATATAAGTGAGTAATGCCTCAAAACCCTGAAGAAAATCATAAAAACAAGATTTACCTGTTCGATATAATGTTATGAATATTGCTTTGTTTGTTACTAATTCTACAGCACAGCATTCCAATGACAGCTCGGTGGTATAAGGCTTCAGATCGACAGGGATAAAAGAACTTCTAAGATCATCCAAAACAAAAATGGCAACACCCCCATGAGCATGATCTGACCTACAAAACCAAGAGCATAAATTAAAATTTGGTATATTAACCGTTTTTAGTTGATCCTCACACAACCAGTGTTCAGAGAGGCATAAAAGTTCAGCATCAGAATTTGTGTCACCTAAATAACAGGATAACTCGTCAATTTTATTTGATAAACATTGAATGTTTAAGTGAAAAACGCTAACTCTTTGAGCAATTTTACATATTTGGTTGTCAAGAACATTTAAAAAGAATGTTTAACATTATTATTGTCTCTATTATTTATATCATTTTGTTTTTGGGAGTTGTGGCTAGGATACCGCTTATTTTGGCTGTGCCTCCAGTCACGATTTACGTATCCGGAAGGCCTTCTATAGATCCACGTCTTGAGACGGACGCCACAGTTCCAATTTTGGGGCTTCATTATGGTATCTAATACGGTGTTTGGTACTGTTAAACGAAACGAGCTAAAACTTCCTCCTGTGTTTAACTTTTCAACTAAATAGTTCGAAGTCGACAGATGATTTAAGTATTTCGTAACCATTTCTTCAGTTGTGTTGACGTCTAGGTTCGATAGGTGCAGGCGGGTTGTAGGGGTTGCTACCTTTAGAACTGAAAGTCCTTGAAGACCGTTTTCGGCTCCGGCGGTGCTTAGTGTAGGCTCAACTTCACCTACGATGCTCAGTACCTTGTTATTTTCCCTAACCTTATTAATTTCTTGGTGGTTGTCACTGGTACCAGGAGATGGCAGCACTGGCGGCGACACGGAGGTTGATCTGGTGGATGTGCGGCGAGTACGACGACTTTTGGCTACGTCGTGAGGTGGCGCTGTATGATTTTGAGTGGTGTGGTTTGCGGTATGCGTGCTAGATGGCATTTGAGTTGGAGCGTCTGAATTTTTACTTAAATTTCGGTGTTGCCATGGTTTTTCCAAAGTATTATTGTTTTTCTCCAAGATGGAAATTTTGAACAGCAATAAATTGTTTTTGTCGGTCATTTCACTTACGAGTTTATTAAGAAGTTCATTTTCACGTAACAATCGATCATTTTCTTTCATAAGATCGCTTATTACAACTTCATTCTGTGTCTTACGTTCCTCGCTCAGAATAATAGTGCCATTCTCCGACGTCACTGAACTGTTTAACGAGTTGTTTTCCAGGCAATTTTCACATACAAAATCACTATCTCTGGGTATTTCTTCATCTGCACACTTTTGATGAACCACATTTTCGCATTTCACACACTTATAACTATTTTTTGCGGCTTTTTTGTTGCATTTTATGCATTTTTCACTAGACATGTTTTCGTTATGTAGCATGCTGCCAGGTTGCCAAGATGTACAATTCACTATTTTATTTTTGTGTTTACAAATAGGGAATCTTTGGAACATGACAAATCTATAGATCATGCACTATTTACGTTGCATTTAACTGATACCGGCTCGACTGGAAGGCAGTACCAATTTTACGAACCTCAGAGTACCGGGATTTGCTGCCCAGTCAGGATGCTCGTATCGTCGTATGCCCAATGCACCTTGACAATAGCTTACAGTATACAAAAGGACAGTCACAGTACCACCTTTTCAAAATCGGTACTGCCTATAGCTTCGATATTAATATCAAACTCAATAGGGAACCACGGACGCACTGGCAGAATTTGGTTTATCAAGGTCTACCGCCAGGTCAGGTTGCTTATTTCATCGCATGTTGAACTCACCTTGACAACAAACCCGAGCTGCGGTACAGTCTGCGAGTAGTACCAATAAAGGTAAAGTCCGAAAAGAAACCCATAAGATAAAATACTACATTTGATTTTTTGGCATAATGAGGAAGTTTAGGCGAAACAATTTAAAATTCTTGTATTCATTCATAGCTGGTACCACTTTTCTAAGAGAGGCACAATTCATTATTTTATTTTTGCGTTTACAAACAGTGAATCTTTGGAACATGACAAATCTATAGATCATATACTATTTTCGTTGAATTTAACTGATACCGGCTGAGGAAGTACCAATTTTACACAAGCTCAGAGTACCACGATTTGCCGCGAAGTCAGGCTGCTTGCCTCACCCTATGCTGAAATCACCTTGACATTAAGACCGGTATACTCACAAAAATACTCAAAGTACCACTTTTACAACAGAAGTACTACCTACACCTTCGACATTAACATCAAAGTCAGTAAGAGAGCCATACTTCTTGGTGTCTACACAAACCTTTTGTAAGATTGTATTGCCTTATGTGCACTTCGTACCTTCAGCGGCAAGCAGTACCAATTTTACAAAACCTCGGAATACCAAGGTTTGTCGTCAATATGTCAGCATGCTTGCTTTACCATAAGTCGAAAACACCAAGAGCTACAGTATTACATAGTAGAGCTATTTATTACAGTACTACTTCCAAAATATAGATTCTACAGACAGTTCTGTACTATCAAACTCAACAGCGACACTATATTTCTCGGTAAGTAAACAATCTTTAGGGATGGCACTGCCTTGCTCGTGCTTTGTAGTATCTTCAATTGCAAGTAGTACCAATTTTACTGAAGCGCTTAGAATAGGTCTGCCGTCAAGTCAGGTTCTTCGCTTCACCATATGTTGAACTCACCTTGACAATAAGTCCGGGTTACAGTACTGCACAGGAGAACTGTCACAAGAGCACCGATAAGATGTGTGGGTGGGCGGTACTGAGGCAACATTTATCCTCCTTATGAAACATTTAACGCACTGTACACATCACACACAAGGCGGAAGAGTTGCTCGATAGAAAAAAATTGTCCGTTCACTCACTGCATTGTTTGGGTCACGTCAAGCAACGACGGTGACGGTGACTTTAACGACGGGTACCCGGTACGACTTTTACGGTTATCCTCGCAAGAATGAAAGTAGTACCAACGGCGGGTCTGCTCGCTCATGGTCCGTTGAAGCCGCGATGGAAGGTTGCTTGGGTGGGTTACCAGTGAAACGGCAAAGAGTTGCGTTCACGCCGCACTAAGGAGTCTAAGCGTGCTGATAGACGTGCGACGATTACGCAGCGGAAAATTCGCTGCTGTATTCTTAGGCTGCTTGCAGCTGGTGCACGGGTGTGTTACCAGCGAGTCAGCAAATAGTTACGTTCACGCAGGAGCAAGAATTTTGAGAGTGGTGAGCACCAACTAAGAAAATACGAAACTGAATTAATATTCTGCTGAAAATGTACGAAATTAGTGGCTTTTGGAGTTGTCTCTATAAATGACGAGATGATATGTTTAATACCGAGGCTACCCATTGTTCCAACTCACGTAAAGGGAAATCTGGAATATCGAAAATAACAGACAAATATCGCTCCTATCTTTACGTTCTAAGCTCATTGAGCAGACAGTGTATTATTACTGACTTTGCTGTAAGTATTCAACATTTTATCTAGTGCTCAGCATGGATTTAGCCATAATAAATCTATGAAGACTGCTACCTCTGAACTTTTAAACCATATCTTTCCAGAACTAGATCGGTAATGTTGTCTTACATTTGATTTATCGAAAGCATTTGACAGTCTAAGTAAGGATACTAGAAAAACAACATGGGTCTTAGAGATCTTATTTTAAACTGGATTGAATCATACTTATCGAAGTATTATTGTAGGGATTAATAGATTATTGTTTGATAGATATCCAGTTTGCGTTGGTATACCGCAAGGATCAGTACTGGGACCGTTGTTATTTATACTTTTCATTAATGACTTTCCAAATCTCATTTCGAAGGGTCCAGTCAAATGTTTGGCGATGATTCCTACAATCACGGTTTCTGCCAGTTCTGTCGAAGAACTTTATAAGAACATCTTGATAATTCGTTAAAATATGGAGGTTCGGTGTGAGAGGAATAAGTTGATATTAAATTAATGAATGTAAGACTACGGCAGCCAACAAAAAATTATTGTTGGTAGACAGTGTTAAGCTCCTTGGAAGCTTGGCAAATATGATTTTCTCAGATCTCAGATAAACAATATTTGCTGTAATGCGTTTCTTAACAACAAACTATTCACTGTACTTTGTATTTTCATATATAAATGCGTAAATCATGTTAACCGTAACATTAACTTCGAGATGCAAAATGAACAACATGATATGATAATATACGAATCACCAAGTTAAAATCAAATCGGCAGTATAATTTTGTAGCAATGTATAATGCTTTCTCTAAATATTTGAGGGATATACTACAGTTCTAAATGAATGGTTGTCAATTATCTAACTGATAAATGTTTTTATTCTATCAACAAATTTTGAAATTATGGATGTTGATACCGTTAAAAATGGTTCTTTTTGAATGCTATCCTTTACATAAGTCTTAATTTTGTCAATTTTTTTGATGTGTCAATTCATTATTGTACATTTTATGGATGTATCTTCAGATACACATTTTTTCATCTTCATAATCTTCTGTGACGTGCCATTTGAACCGTGTGTTTGTATTTTGGTCGATTTAACTACTACTACCACTACTACTGATCTAATCAAAATAAAACAGCACAAAGTGCCATCAATAAATCAGAACCGGCGAACAGAAAACTTGTTGTATTAAGTTCATTATTACTGGGTGCTGTTTTTTATGTGTCACTTAGTATATGACTTTACTCTATTTCACAACATAGCATTCCATAACCTTTAATGCGAATATTTGACCTAGTATCTCTGTTTTTTGCTAGTTTAATCTAGAATTGCCTTTTCGGCGCATTCATCACAGACCAGCCTGTATAGTCCATATACTGAAGCGACATCATTCTTATTCCGACATCAAATCCAAGCTCTTTTCATGATCCCCAGGGTACGAGAAACACGTATCCATCTTTTATTGGCTGCAATAGATGCAGCTGAGAGGGCGTGCGAACAAGTCCCCGTCGTCAAGTCTCTAGTCGGAAACATCAAGTTTATGGGACACAGCACAATAGTCCGCGAGACATGTTTTATTCATTACTAGTTACAGAAATACTGACCCGAATTCGCATCGCGTCCTATAACACCGTGTTTGACGTGTTTCCAACAAGCAACTACTGTTCAATTCTCACCGTCTGATACTCCAGTCGAGACAGTGCGGTAGCTAGTACCAGATTTTCGTTGACGGCCCTTCAGCAAAAGCTGAAAAAAATTTAGAAAAGCGCGTGACATTAACGGAGCTTCTTATTCCGACAGAGGATAATAAAAGATTGTCTCGTTACTGCGCAAAATCAAAATAACGAAGATCATAACTAAGCAGCAAAACATGAGCACTACAAGCTCTCTATTATCTAAGAATTTTTTTCGTTTTTTCATCAACAGTAACAGTAACTCTAAATATTCTGAAGGGAAAAATTTCATTTTCGTCACCCGTTGTTACAACTGAACCACACTTGGTAACTGCTGTAACTTGTGACACTGCGAATATGATGATGTGATTTTTTGAGTCTTCTGACAACCTCAAATGACGTCAAGTTCGTAATCCACACTCCCGATTAAATCTAGAAGCAACGTTTGGTCAAAATTGAGGATAAGCAAGAATTTTTAAATTTCTCCATTAGTTATGTATGGTTTATCTGAAGTCACTTGAAATAGCATAAAAACCTTTGGTCGGCGCGTCCTTTGTAATTTCATGACGTATCATAGGCGTGCGGTTATTTATTTAGAACGATAATAATAATGTTTTTATATCACAATAAATGGATTTTACTATCTTCTTATTTTTTTGATTTGGGATAAAAAATACTTATATTGGGAGTTTAATTTATGTTGACTGAAAGTTAAGAACTGGAAAAATTACAGAATTCCAACGTACATACATAGCAGGTAGGTATATGAAAAGGTATATAAAGACTTACATTATAGGTATTTATATATCATCCTCGCCTTCGGAGCTGTCGCTAGAGTCATCTTGTAGAGGAATTACAACGGGATTTACAGGAGGCAAAACACAATATTCATTTTCTTTTTCAATAATATGCCTAGAACACTGCTTCCATAGGTCTGTGGCAGCAATATGAGATACTGCATCTCTTATTGTGGCCAATAGCGATTCACTTAATTGAGGGGTCTGATTATGTTTTCTTACTTTTTTTTTAAAGCAGCCCAGACCAACTCAATCGGGTTAAAAATGCAGTAATAGGGAGGTAGACGTAATACTTCATGGCCATTTTGCTGAAGCAGATTGTCAACAACATACTCTTTTTCAAATTTTTCTCTTTTAATAAGATCCAATAATATGGCTTTGGTTGATTTTTGTGGTATTTCCATTCCCTTATTCTTCATAAAATCAATAATGTCTTGTTTTTTTGTGCCTGTATTCGGAATTTTGTTTTTCTGTCGGGAATGATATGGCGCATTGTCCATAATAATCACAATTTGGGGAAATGTTTGGTATTAACTGCTGCTCTATCCAC